GTCAGAATAGGGAAATGCGCGGGGTATTTAAATATCCCCCGCGGGATTTAAATAAACATGGCCGCCGCTTTTTTCCGGCTTGGGGAAAAGCCGGAAAAGAGCGTCCAGACTGGCGCGATCCTCCGGAATAGGGCTTTATTCCGGAGGATCGCGCCAGTCTGGACGCTCTTTTCCGGCTTGAACATTTCCCTATTCTGACTTCTCTCATTTCCATAGCTATTACGGGTTATGTGGCCAGTGTAGACACAGCCCTATTGTATCCCCTCTCAGTCTTCTAACCTAAACAAGCCAAATTCTTTCAATCTTCCCTCATAGCTCATGTTTTCTAGACCTTTAATCATTCTTGTTGCTTGTTTTCTCTGGACCTTCTTCAATTTGTCCAAATCTTTCTTGAAATGTGGTGCCCAGAACTGAACACAATACTCCAATTGAGACTTAATCAGCGCTAGAGTAGAATGGAAGAATGACTTCTTGTATCTTGCTAACAACACTCCTGTCAATGCATCCCAGCATCATGTTTGCTTTTTTTGCAACAGTGTCACACTATTGACTCATGTTTAACTTGTCATCCACTATGACCCCTAAATCTTTTTCAGCAGTACTCCTTCCTAGACAATCACTTCTCATTCTGTATGGGTGAAACTGATTTTTCCTTCCTAAGTGTAGTACTTTGCATTTGTCCTTCATTCTGTTTACCTCAGACCATTTATCTAGTTTGTCCAGATAATTTTGAATTTTGGCCCTATCCTCCAAACTTGAGACCCCTCCCAGCTTGGTATCATCTGCAAACTTAATAATTGTACTCTCTATACCATCATCTTCATTCTTAATCCCCAAAAAGTATTTTTTCAATGATTTAGATGATGGTACAGAGAGTACCAGGGCTCAACAATTAGGGCAATCTACTCACCCGTGGCGAGTAGACTTTAGCCCAGTACAGTGCTGCAGCACAATCAGCACATGTGCAGCGCGGTCTGCGCATGCGCAGTGTGCCAGACCGCGAAGCTGGTGAGCAGGGCTCGCCGCCCCTTGTCAAGCCTTGAAGAGTACAATTACTAAGTTTGCAGATGATAAGTTAGAATGGAGTTTGCAAAGATGCAAATAAGAGCTGTATAAAATAACAACAAAAGAATTAAATGCAGGTTACTGACATTGGCCAATAAAAATTTAAACTTGAGAGATTTGACTAGAAAGCTTAATAAGTTATTGTGTTAATTCAACCTTTATTGAATTTACATTTGCAAGCTCAACTGTGAGGGGATTGATAATCCAAATGAATGAATTTTCTTCTGTCATTATGTAGTAAAACAGTCAAAGATTGTTGGTGATATTTATATGTCCCAAATATTGTTAACATTTGCAAGATAAGCATTGTGGGAATAGTGTACCTTGCTTAGTAAATATTCTGAAATATTTGAATTTTTTGTTGAAAAACTGTAACTGATAAGAAAAGGTGAGGGTGAGAAATCTTCACTGGTAAAATGAGACTACACAATCTGCTGAAGGCCAGTTGGGTGTCCTTCACTAGACTGGATAGTTCAATGGCCCTGTGATACTTTTATTGATTTCTCCTTGAATTTACTGGGTCTGATTCTGCTCCCATTAAAGTAAATGGCACAATTCCCATTGAATCAAAATTCCCATTGCATCTGACAAAGTGGGTCTTCGCCCACGAAAGCTTATGCTCCTACACTTCAGTTAGTCTATAAGGTGCCACAGGACTCCTCACCGCTTTTGCAGATTCAGACTAACACGGCTACTCCTCTGATACATTGAATCATAGACATGTAGGGCTGGATGGGAGATCATGAGGTCATTTTGGGCATGCTAATGCCGAATACGCTATGCAACGTGAGCTACATCAATTGTGTAGCTTAAGTCGAAATAGCTTAATTCGGCTTTTGGCAGAGCACGCTTTCTCTGACTTCCTTTATTCCTCGTACAATGAGGGTTACAGGAGTTGGAATAAGAAGCCTTTTAACTCAACATTACTTTGACATTATGTCAAAATAACTTTGTAGTGTAGACGTGGACTATGTTATTATTCCAAAATAACAGTGATGTGTAGATGTACCCTTAGTTCAGCTCCTTGCTCTGATACAGGATCAAGTGAACATAGATATTTCCGGACAAGTGTTTGTCCAACCTGTTCTTAAAAGCCTCTAGTGATGGGGACTACATAAATGTTGTTGGACTTCACTGGGAGGTGGATTGGGCCCATCATTTGAAAACTCAAAGGAATAGTGTATATTGGTATGTTGTTGTTGTTTTATTTTATATAGCAGCATGCTAGCAATTTTTTCTTCCAGCAGGCAGCTACCATTTGTTGTATGGCTGCACACTGTTCAAGTATGTATTTAAATGGAAAAAAAAGAAAAGCCTCATCAAGGCAATAGTACAGAAAAATGATGTGAAAATGTCTTTTGTTTATAAGACTGCGCTTTTACAACTCACATTTCAGCAGTTAAGCTAAGTGTAGCAGTAGAAGTGCTTTGTATTGTATGCCATTTTTAATAAAACAGCTCCTTTTTTGTCCTAGTATAATCATCTCCAGCTCAACTTACCCAAATAACAAGCAACCTTTCATGAAACTATCATCATTTTTCTAACCAATACTTTCCTTTCAATATGGAAGCTGCTGAATCCAGCCCCAGTTCATGGCTGGTTGATGTTGTTGACTCTAGAATTGTATAAACAGAAAGTAAAGCATGAATGGATTCTATCCCTCAATCTCACCACCTGCATCTGTGATGAAGCTTGCACTATAATACATTACTGATAGCATATCTGTTTTTTTTCTGACCAGGCTCCCAACATTTTGGAGAAGAAATTGTTCAGTGAGCAGACTCTCAGATTGTTGTTGCCGCTGGTTTTTAGGTATTAGAAAACTTGCTAAACTCATAAATTAAATTAAAAGCCAAAGAAAGTTTGCCAAATTAAAAAAAAAAGACATTTCCTTTGCTCATTTTTGGGAACATATTCAGGAACCTACATGCTCAAATTGCGTGGTATGGTGCATTCTAGTATGTAATAAGGTTAAGCAATTTATCACCTTTCTGCTCTGAAAACAATAGTGTAGAATATGCATATTTTCCATTCCCCACTGAATTTATAGGTTAGCCTTTCCCTTGTGGTGTCTCATAAAGAGGGGGTTATTTCAGATTTCTTCTTCTTCATAGTTCATTTGGATTACATATTTATCAATCAATCTGCTAGTACTCTTTGGGGAATAACAGGCAAGAGTGCTGGGGAGGACTTTGCCTTGACTTATTCATGAACCCCTACATCAAATACATTTTCTATTCCAATGCTGATTCATTCAAAGTAATCACTGCTGGCAACAGGACAGGCTAAACTGGCTGTAAATACACTCCTTACCCCTTGTGTGATTTTTTTCTTTAGTGATGCAGTACAAGATGATTCCTTTTCTCAATGCTTTGTTCACTGACATCATCCTGTATTGCTAATTCTTCCTTTTCTTTCCTTTCTGCTCCCCTCCCCTTACCTTTTATAGACTGCTCTGCTGTTGCAGCACAGAGGAGGACATCCATGACAACTACTGATTGTATAAGCTTCCTCTTTTAGATTTTTATTTAAAGTTCAACTTCCATGTTTAGTCAAACACATCTAAAAATGAACAGTGGGATTATGTGACACACATTACTCACCAATGTTGGAGATACGGATTCTTGCCTTATGTCACCTTCTGTGCTCATTAAATCTTGTACTTACTGGGCCTTCCCCTATAGCAAACTCACATTCTAAGTTTATACTCTTGTTATTTCTCCCTTCAGCTAGGAACACGTCTTTGTCCACTCTCCATAGTTCTCCACGGTTTGGGGGTATGTGCATGGAAGAAAGGCCATTTATTTGCTTCTGCACAACTTCCTTCCATTTGTTTTTAAGCCACTGAGTCATTTGTTGTTTATCCTTACAATCACTCTTACATTTTTCTTATCCATGGAGCTTCTTGAATCTCTTAAGTGCATTGTGATTCTCTGGTTTGAAGGACATTGTATACTGTTGCATTTTTGTACAGTTCACTTTTCAGCATATTACATTACCTTGCCACTGGGACATACAAAATGTTTTCGGAGATCACAAGTTTCCATCTCTTTTATAGTAGGGATCTTGTTTTATAATTCCCTTTTTACATCCCTACCTTTCAAGGTTTCAGATTTGTTCACAAATACCAAGATCATTGTTCTTGAATTGCAGGCATTTACTGCTGGCCGATTGCTCTTTAAATTCTCTTGTTCTAGTGCTATTTTTGACTCCTGTGGAGTTCAACTTCACAGGCACCATGCAGTGCACTTTTGGACTGGACTACAATATAGAATTACAGCACCTCAGCATTTTCCCACCTTGATGCTTGCAGTTCTGAATGAAGCTGTGAAGGTTAGTGCCACACTGAGCTAAGATACACCAAGTTTTATATTAGAGGGCGCTTTCACAGAGATTGCTATGGTAAGGGTTCAGGGCATAACCCACAGGACACAGGACTTTCAGGATAAAGCTGAGTTAAAAAATCTGTGTGGGAAAAGTAAAACTATTGAAATGTCTTTCTCTTTTGTCATGTTTCTATCTTTTGGTATTTCTTATATGTGAGATCAGACTAAAAAATCATATAACCTATGAATCTAGACCATCAGCTGTGCTCTGATGGCACTTATGCATATATATTGGATGGGAGAATATAGATATTTTTATGTAATTGGAAAAGCTTTACACAATTTTACACTTAATTGAGTTCCCTCATTCCCAGCAAGGGCATGTGCTGATTTTTCTGCACATATTAATGATCACAGCTAGAGATGTTCTACTAAATTCAATAAATCAGATTATTTCATTTCAAAGAATAGGTGTAATGTCCTAATCACACCAAAACATCAAAAGGATAAATTTTTGCAAAGAATCTGGTGACTCCCACAATATAAATTACTCCTTTTTCTTGTTTAAAGACTTAAGCTGATAATTCTGTTATTTTATAAGTTACAAACCTGCCAGTCTTGTAATTTACATTTCTGAAGAACAAGACGACATTTCTCCTCAGCAGATAACTTCTTTTTCTCTCCCAGTGTTGTCTCAGATAAGTTCTTATACCTGCAAAAATTAGCAAAGGGATAATTGCACAAGCAGGTAATTCACAGGTGTATCCTAAAGTTACAAAATATTGTAAATGCTATCTATTGGACTTGTCAATTGCTATCTCAGTTTCCACATACTTTAGTGTTAACTGCAGCCAGTATTCCTGAGTTCAAGTGCTGGAATAGAAAATGGCTCCACAGCCTTTGTAAATCCATTTACTTGGCCTGCAGATATGTGTATACAAGTTTAAAACTGCTAGGTGCATTCCCTTATCAGCTCCCAATAACGATGTGTGTCAGGTGGTACTAAAAGTATCATTGGTCTCTTGCTTGTTCTTTTAGAGTTTCATCTACAACCTACTGAAGTCAATGGAAAAACTTGGATGAACAACGTCAGTGTGCTTTAGATCAGTGCTTTTCAAACTTTTTTTCTCATGATACAGTGGAGGGAAATTGTTTTTGTCTGTGACATAACAAAATTTGACTAAAGCGTGGGCTCCAGGATGGGACTGGGGCTGAGAGCTTCAGCTTTGGGGATAGGTCAGGGCTGGGGCAGGAGGAGCTTAACTTGAGTGGCTCCTAGTCAGCAATGCAACAAGAGCACTGAGGGGTGCTGAGGCAAGCTTCCTGCTTCTCTTGCCACATGCTGTGCTCCAGAAGCAGCCAGCAGCAGGTTCGCAGACAATGGGAGTGGTAGAGCTAGTGCTCAGGGAGGAACAGTGCATGAAGCCCTGTTTGCTCTTTTGCCATTGCCCCTTACCATCACCTGAAAGCTGGGCCTGCTGCTGGCCACATCTAGGGTGCCGTGGAGTCTGCAGTGCCGAGACAGGCATGTAGCTTGCCTTAGCACCCCTACTGATCACTCTGCAGCAATGAGACCCAGTGCCTGACATTCTGTAACCCAGAATTGGTCTGCAACCCATAGTTTGAAAACCACTGCTCTAGATCAGGCCCTCCGAAGAAAAAATATTTCTCGAACAAACATCACATGAAAAGATGAATGTTTAGAAAAGAATCATTTGGAGGTGACATGGCTAAAAAGTGAACGGGTTTTCTACCAATTTGAAATGAATACAATTTTTCAGCAACTTGAGGGCTTGAAAAAAATACTTTATAGTCGGACACTTGAGGAGCTCAATCTGTTTAGCTCATCACAAAAAAAAGAAAAAACGAAAAAGAGGTCTGATTATAATGTATAAATATCTTTATCAGGAGAAAATGCCCATCCCTTCAAGGAGTACAGAACCAGGCTCCCCCACATATCTGGGGGTGGGGGCTACAATTCCTCCCTGCCCTGTTGAAACCAACCAAATTCAAATTAGAAATGAGACACTAATATTTAAGAGGGAGGTTGATTAATTATTGGAACCGGTTATCAAGGGAAGTGACAAGTTTTCCATCTCTTGGGATGTGTCTAGACTACACCTCTCTGTCGACAGAGAGATGTGGATTAGGCACGTCTAAATTGCTAATGAAGCAGGGATTTAAATATCCCATGCTTCATTAGTATAAACATGGCCGCTGCTTTTTTTTCGAAACGGAGCTTTTAAAAAAAAAAGGCAGTCTAGACGCGGATCTGTTGAAAATAAAGCCTTTTTGGATAGATGCTGTAAACCTCAAAAAAGCAGCACCCATGTTTATGCTAATGAAGTGCAGGATATTTAAATCCTTGCTTCATTAGTAATGTTGACGTGCTTGATTTGCATACCTCTGTTGACAGAGGGATGCACTCTAGACGTAGCCCTGGTGTCTTCAAATCAAAACTGGTACTTTCTGGTGCACACAAGTTATTAGACTCAATATAGGTGTAACTTGATGAAGTACATAGTGTGTGATTCTCAGTCAGAGTTGATGATCTATTGGTCTCTTCTGCCTTAAATTCCAGAAAAGTATTAAACTATAGCCTCTGTCACTCACTGTTTGGAGCTCAGAGCCCTTTTCTAGTCCATAAAATGATCTCTTAACTATGAGGGAGAAGATGGTATTTTGCTAGAGGCATTGGACCAAGGAAGTTTGTAGGGAGAGGGGAGGCAGAGAAGAGTCTTAGGTAATCTATGGTCATTCCTTGGATCTGCCTCAGACTCCAAGTTAACCTTTCTCTGCCTTGGTTCCCCATCTGTGAAATAGGTATAAATGCACAAGGGTGTGATGATAACTACATTGTGGACTGTGAGGTGCTGTATAAATACATCATCATCATTTCTCAGCTGAAAAATAAATATTAATTAATTTTGAATTTTCTGTACTTATTTTCAAATGATTCTCAGTCTATGAAGTTTTTATTTATGGATAAGCAAACGAAATTAGCTTTATTTTACGTGTTATAGCACCTGTAAAAACCCTTCTCTGTCAAAATCTAAAAGGGATAACAGATCACTAGCACATCAAATGTATCCTATTGTGAATGCAGTATAGTTGTAGCCATGTTGTTCCAAGATATTAGAGAGACAAGGTAGGTGAGGCAATATCTTTTACTGGACTAACTTTTATTACTAAGAAAGCTGGTCTCTCTCACTGTTGGTTCAATAAAAGATAGTGCCTCAGTTCCCCCCTCCCCACCATCACCCTTGCCTCTCCTATTGTGAACTACAGGTTATATTATTGTCTAATACATATTATAGCGAGTTTGGTATCCTCTAAAGGTGAGTTTTTTAATTTCCTTGTGGATAGCAGAAAATCATGTCTTTCTTTGTCACACTCGCTATAGAATAGCTGATAATACTGCACAAATCTTGCATTAATAGAACAGGCTTATATAAAGATGTAATGTAATTTACTTGGAAACATCAAGACCTATCCAGAGTTTCCCTCTGTGGAGATGTAACTGGGGAGCCTCTGTTGTCACAGGGGTAATTCCCTGTATACAGGAACATTTCCCCCCCGTAACTGCAGAAGCCTGAGTTCAGTCTTATGCAGACACATATACTTGACCCACCTGATTACCATACCATATAGCCATCAGGCTTGGGAGAATGAAGTTGAGCACGTTTAGTGCTCTCCTAACTTCAGGGTAAGGGTATTTAGTTAGCCAGCCAAGGGGAAAAACACTTGTAAAGGGCTTTGTGTCCTAATGAGAGCAACACTTTGAAGGCCCCAAAAGATAGCTATCAGCCACACAAATTTAAGGAATCTCCTAGATCAAAATTTCCCATCACGGAAAGGATAATTAGGAGATGAGAGTCCTCTTAAGCTGGAGTTACCCAGCCTGATACTGTTCCTGGGGAAACAGGCTAGACCGTTGGTAGCAGGGTCAGTCTCTTAATCCCCAACTACCTTTCCTCCACCCCAACTTGCCCCCATTGATGGATCTGAATGGGAGAACTCCCAGTTCCCTAACTATATGTTTGTTTTGTCAGTGGGGTTTAGCTCTCTAACCCCAAACACTCAGCTCAACAATTCCCAAACACAAAGAATGAGTAATGTGTTTTGTTCTTTGCAAAGCTATCCTTGCAAAACAAAAGACAGAACTATGTAGCACTTTAAAGACTAACAAGATGGTTTATTATGTGATGAGCTTTCGTGGGCCAGACCCACTTCCTCAGATCAATTTATGGAAGAAAATTGGTATATATGGTTGTCATTACCTCACAGACACTATCCTTCCCCCCTCACCCCCACTCTGTTCTAAAATTTGATTTGTCAATTTCACATGTGTTCATTTTTTTGATTGTATCACTTTGGTATATATGGTTGTACCAAAGTGATACAATCAAAAAAATGAATGCATGTGACAAATCAAATTTTAGAAGAGTGGGGGTGAGGGGGGAATGTTAGTGTCTGTGAGGTAATGACATGAGGGGTGATAATAGGGGAAGTTTCTGTGAGGTAATGACATTAGGGGTGATAACTGGGGAAGCTATCTTCGTAATGGGTGAGATAATTAGAGTTTTTGTTTAGACCCATACATAAAGTGTCAAATTTAAGCATGAATAACAATTCTGAAGCTTCTCATTGAAGTCTGGAGTTAAAGTCTCTTTGAAGCAATATGCATGTTTTAAGGTCATTGAGGGACTGGTCAGTCTGGCTGAAATGGCAAACAACAGCTTTCTCTCTGTGAGAGAGTCTTATGTATGTTTTGTGTGCATTGATTCTTTGGCAAAGTGTCTGAGAAGTTTTTCCAATGTACATAGCAGATGGTCCACGGAGCCATGTAGTCTAGACATACCCTTACTGTGCAGCTGGCCACAGAGTGCTTTGGGAAGGGTTTGCAATACTGCATGGGGAAGACAGCATCATATGATGCAGGTTTCCCAATCCCATTGTTCCATGGTCATTCTACTACATTGACAGCTGTTTTTCAGCAGAAGTTGGGGAAAGAGGTAGAGTGTGAAAGGGAGTGTGTCTGTGTGTGAGGGGCAGACTGTGTGTTTTGGGAGATGTCAGCATGCTGTCTTGTAAGTTCAGACAATGACAGGAAACAACCCCTCCTCAGGCATGGGGACGGAAATCCCAATGTCTCAGGCTCTCTCCCTGGCTCTTTGTATGGGAATCTCTCTCTCTCTCTATCACATTGACACTGTGTTCACAGCACAAGCATTCCATCTGACTGATGTGCTCTGTGTCCCAAAGCAAATCTGTACAATATGCAGGCTGTCCAAAACAGAGCTGTGAAAGGGGATATGCACACACCTGCAGGGCAGACAGATCAGTTCCAAATAGAGCAGAGGGGACTTGAAGGATTATGGGCCATTTCTGGAGGCCAGTCACAACACTGCAAACAATTCAAGCATCCCCAGTGCTGTATCCAGAGTGAAGCAAGCTCTTCAAGGTGGTTTATCTAGCACTCAGAAGCCACAGAGTTAGTGTGCATTAAACACCTTCCTAGTGTGGACACCTACGGAGTCACAACACTGGGAGCTGATTTACTGCACAGTCACTTGCCAGTGTAGACTTGGCTAATCATGGTTGCTCCTCACACTCACAGTAAGCCATCATTTGAACAAACATCACAGAATTGATTTCAAGGGCACCACTTGCAGAGTCAGGTCAACAGGAAAAAGAATGGCAGAATCTTGG